CATAGCCAAGTAGAATGCTATTGCGTGCATCATCATGGTTAAAAGGATCAACAATACTTTCATAATGGCCTTTTATTTTAACACATTCTATTTTTATGGTTAGAATTATGATTTCAACATATCCCTTCATAATTTATCATATAATTATTTGCATAGATATTTTTCACACATATTTAATGTACTTTTGACAGACACATCTTGAATTTAAATGTAAACTGTTGGATGGACTAAGATAATCTCAATGCAAGTAATGATAAAGGAGATTGGATAGAAAGAAAATGTTCTTATCTACCAAAAGGAATAAGCTATCAAAGAACAGAATTTGCAACAATGCACTATACATGCATTACTGGAGAAAAGACTCGCTTTCTCCCCTGCTCCCAAGGACTTCTTCAGTCTATAAAAATAAGCTGGTTAAGATTATATGCTGGCCGGCGCCGCGGCTCACTAGGCTAATCCTCCACCTAGCGGCACCAGCACACTGGGTTCTAGTCCCGGTCGGGGTGCCGGATTCTGTCCCGGTTGCTCCTCTTCCAGGCCAGCTCTCTGCTGTGGCCAGGGAGTGCAGTGGAGGATGGCCCAAGTGCTTGGGCCCTGCACCCCATGGGAGACCAGGAGAGGCACCTGGCTCCTGCCTTCAGATCAGCGCAGTGCGCCGGCCGCAGCACGCTGGCCGTGGCGGCCATTGGAGGGTGAACCAACGGCAAAAGGAAGACCTTTCTCTCTGTCTCTCTCTCTCACTGTCCACTCTGCCTGTCAAAAAAAAAAAAAGATTATATGCTGTACTCGTTGCTGATTATTTGTTCAGCATTCATTCATCCAGCCAATATTTATTGAGTACCTTCTTTGTGCTAGGCCTTGTTCTAGGCAGAAAACAAAATAGTGCATAAAACAGAATTCCCCATCTTTAAGGGACTTTATATTTAGAGGGAAGGATAAGCCATAAACAAAAAATGTAAGTACTTTATAAGGTGGGCATTTGAAATGCTTTTTAAGTTGCCACTTTGGACACCCACATCCCATATCAGAGTACCTTGTCTGAGTGCCAGCTCCTCTACTTTTGATCCAACTTCCTGTTAATGTGCATCATGAAAGACAGGTGATAGCTCAAGTACCTGGGCTCCTGCCACCCATGTGGGACACCAGATGTAGTTCTAGGCTCCTGACTTCGGCCTAGTCTAGCCCTGGCTTTGTAGTCATTTGAGGAGTGAACCAGCAGGTGAAAGGTCGTGTGTGTGTGTGTGTGTGTGTGCATGTGCATGTGATTTTCAAATAAAATGAAAATGAAGATAATTTTTATGAAAGGAAATATAAGTACTTTAGATAATCCTAAATGCTAAGGAGATAAATAAAGCAAGTAAGAAGAATAGAAAATGTTGAAGAGAACAAATGGACCTCAACCATGTTTGGAAACTAAGATTAAATCATTGGGTGAAACCATTTGGGAAGGCAAGCAGAGCTCCTCACCTGTGAGTAAGAAAATTAAAGATACAACCACAGATGAGGACTAAAACTTATAGAAAACTGAATTCCTGAGTATCAGCAAAGTACAAAGGCACGTGTGTACTCAGAAACATTGTCCAAGCCTCTTCCACTTGAACTTCATGGATGGGACACCAACTCATGCCACCACTAAAAGGCTAAAAGTATCTTAAAGAGAGAGACAAAAAGACCCATAGACAAGGAGGAATTAATGCAAGAAGTAAGTAACTTCCTTTAAGGAAGACCCTTCTCTTCAAGAAAATTAGTACTTTTTAAAGGTAATGAACAGTCAGATGATTCTTTCCTCACTAAAGGCAAGTTATGGGAAATTTAGCAAAGTGCTTAAAATAGATTTTCTAACAAAAACAAAGTCAAGGACAGTAGATATTCAGAAGAGACGACTGTCCCAACTAGATATTCTGGAAATGTAAAATGCAGTCAAATAATCACTCTACATGTAAGATAAGCAAGAATGGATATAATCAGAGAAAGAACAGGAAATTAAAAACCAGTAGAATGAAATCACCCAGAAAGCATTAAGAAAAATAAGAAAGGGTAAAAAAGTATGAAAAATACATGGACAATAATTAAGAAGTGCCAGCATATGTCTAAAAGAAGAAAACAGGGTAGTTAAGACTATTTGAAGAAATAATGCTGAAGAATTTTCAGAATAAAAGAAATAATACTTTCAGTGTAACACAATGAATGCTAAATGGGATTAATTAAGATAAATTATAACCTAGACAGATCATAGTGAAACTGCTGTTATTAAGAATAATGAGAAAACAATTTTAAAAGCCATGGTGTTACTAAGGACAAATTACAACAAATGAGAGTAGCTGCAGATGTCTTAAGAGCAACAATAGATGCCAAAAAATAAAATAATACTAACATTTCACATAGACTATTTTCAACTCAGAATTCTACACCCAGTCAAGCTGTTGTTCAATATTGAAGGACTTTTATTTTTTCAATCAAAACACTGGAAGAGTTTGCTATCACAGACTACTGGAAAAGAACTTTTAAAGGATGTACTTCCTTGTGCATGAACCTAGAAGAAGGTTTATCTGAACCTAATATGATAAATATAGAAAGATGTATTGTGATTTTCTTCCTGAGGAGAAATGCGTTAATTATCATTAAAGCAAAGATTTTACTCTTACTTTTTTTAGTTAGTCATAAAACGATATTATAATGACCAGCTATGTTATCCATTATAGTCATGTGTCTGTTCTTAATGTGTCTGCTGTTATTGAATTTTGCATAAAATACTTAAAAACTGAAAAAATGGTACCAATTAAATTTCTGTCACTGAGAATGAATAATTCTACGAGGTCTACTAGAAGATACTGTACAGGATCATAAATTTGCACCTCAGGGGTACTTGATGACAGTAATATTCTGATAGCATGAGGAAATCTTCACTATCTAAAGCTTATTTATGTGTATCAATAATTCACAGCTTCTAATATGAGTTTGTAAGAGTTTTTTTGAATGTGAGCTTATTTCAAGTGCAAAACTTCCCTCATTTTTTGGTGATTTGGTAAAAACAGTTCCAGAACACAACATATTGTACGTACAGCTAAGGTTTCTGAAAGTAACACAGCAATGGTATATACACAGCCAGATTAGGAAGGAAAAAAAAAGCATCTATGGAATATGGAGAAACTCCCCACAGCAGCAAAAATGCAGTCACAGGTGTGCAGGGCAGTGGTTTTGCCCAGGGAAACTTATTAGACCTATCACCCAAAAGTTCTATTCAATTGATCATATAGGCATCCTCTGCGTAGTAAGTACCAAAATTGCAGGTCTTCAGAAGGAAAGCCAGGGCAAAACTACCTTACCATTTAGAGAAGCTTCTTACCAGCATATGGGAGGCGGTAGACCCTTTCAGGAAAGCAGCCTGTGGCCTGCTATAGTAACTCTTCTGTACAGAGATCTGTCTAGTTTTAATGGGTTTTCCCATTACCTTTAAAAGTAGACAATTCGGTTAACCTTTTTAACGTTAGAAAATGCCATGTCACTTGGAAAAATAATGAAATCTCTCTTAAGAGAACACCACTGTAATATTTACAAAAAACATCTTAAGCAAAGAAGTCTTTGCTTCTTTGAATTATGGATAAATCTGTATAGAATACCTAGGAGTTCTCAGGTTTCAACAATATATATACTGATTATTTTCTGCAATCATGATCTTTATGAAAGTACTGTGCAGTTGTGGGTAAAGACAAGATGATCTTGTTAAAAAAGAAAACGGATAGCATGAAATGTTCTTGTGTAGACCTTCAAGTTCTAAGGAATAGCATATAAAAAGCACAGGAGGTACATTATATAACCCAGTTCTTTCAAAGCTATTATCCATGTAGCTTCCTAAAAACAAACCACCCCCATCATTGTCATTTTTCAAAATAATGAGCTGTAAAACTATAATGATTACTTGTGGAAACACAAAAGAAAAAACCTAATCAGTAATTTTCAGCCAAACAATTTAGGGAAAATAACTACATGTAAATTAACTATACTTAAGCCCACTAGCCTGAGTTATTATTTGAGTTATTATTTTGTAACAAAGTACAGTCAAGAAAATCAACAAAGCATAATGGATTTTATCTACTTTGCTTTTTCTCAAAAATTGATTGTGAACTTCTATAACCATGGATACTGCAAAGCTTGCTATATGTGCATGCAACACACACACACACACACACCACACCTACACATATTTATATTGCTTTAACACTTGAGTGATTATTTTTGCATCGTGCTAAATGTCAAAAAATTTTCTGACCTTTATATTTAGGACTGGTACTCATCCATAATATTATAGTGATTGAATTTATATAACTCAAAGAATACAAAAATTACAGAAGCAAAATGTGGTTTTATTAGTAAAGATAGTAAATAATAAAGTACCACAGAATATGAATTGTATAAAATTAAGGCAAGCAATCTTTGTATGAACAAAATTCAGTTGCCCTTTACAGATAACCTTTGTGAAGAAAAAGAAGAATCTTATTAGCTCAGATTCATTGATCCAAGTATTGAAATGTTTACTACTAAGGGAGTAGGAGATATGTAAGTGATGCTGCCTTATGTACTGGGATGAACTTCAAGGAAATAAGGGATAGTCATTTTTGCCTGTCTGCTTCATTTAAGATCATTGTAAAAATCAAATGAGATATTGTCTGGGATAGCACGGTAAACTCCTAAAAAAATACAAAGGGGTATATATGTGTTGTGTGTTTAAGAGCCCTTGGTTTCACCAATGCTTTGTGCCCCCAGTTTCGTTGCCTACAAAATAAGGGTAAAGATAACGCTACATCGGTAGACGGAAGGAAGTCAAGTGACAGGATATAAATGACATTTTTGTGGACACTTTGGAAAATGAAAGTACTTCCTCTGACTGCAGTATAGTCATCATTTAGTTCTTGTGAGTTCTTGTGAGTTCTGTTTAGCATGCGGGTGCTTGCATCTCACCCTGAGTATCAGTTAATGTTCTTCCCGATCTTTGATTTCAGACATTTCAGCAGTCCTCTCTGCAGCACAAATCAAAGAAGAAAAACAAAGGTAAGGGGAGGAAATGAAACGTCTGCTTGTTTTGTGCTGTGGTTACCATCAGAACACTTCACCCATCCTTTTTCCCCTGAGCCAGTGTTGTCTAAGAGCATAGCACACTGCTGTAACAGCTGCCAAAACTGTCTTCTCCTTTCAGCTCAATTTTTATACAAGGTACCTTTTACAAGAAACAATCTCTACAAGTTTTGAGGCTGAGATTATTTTCTCATTAGATTGTGTATCACTTATGTGGGGGGAAAGGTATTAAAGGTTTCTATTTTCTTATTCTAGTGCAATGTCAAAAATGTTAAGGTTGTTAAGTACTCAGTTATTTTTGACATCTATAGATTGATATTCTGCCTTCTTTAACAAATTTAGAGTGTATTTTCACTCACCGTTTTCTTTAGGTCCTATAGCAGGCAAGAGCAAAAGACGAATTTCTTGCAAAGATCTTGGCCGTGGTGATTGTGAGGGTTGGCTTTGGAAAAAGAAAGACGCAAAAAGTTACTTTTCACAGAAATGGAAGAAATATTGGTTTGTCCTAAAAGATGCATCACTATACTGGTATATTAATGAGGAGGTAAGAAAAGCACATTTTGCTTTCTGTTCCTTATCTTATCTCTAACCAGAAAAAAGTACCATTTTGAGATTTATGTTTTAAAATTATAAAATCACCATAAGACCAATTCAGGGAACTGTACCATTTACCTTTCAATCCACCCTCCTGAAATGAGTTCATATTAGGGTTCTGGAAAGATAGTTGCCTCAGTTATTCTAACGTAGCAATATATCTAAAGCACAAATAAAGCTCACATATGGTAAAGTTCCATATATCTAACCAAAAATATCAAACTAATTCAAGCAATAATGATTATACATACAAATTTGGTAGAGACACTAAAATGCCTTTCTTTTGCAAAAAGTTTCAAATCTTTTTCTGTTTGGTTTCTTTAGGGATAAGCCCCTTAGTAATCTCTATAAATTAATACTACCTGGATTTCTTTTGGATTTTTAGGAGAAAAAAATGAAATAGCAAACTAATTTTGAAAGTCTACAAGTTTTCGTTTCACTTGACTCAATTGAAAGGGGAGTGGAATGTATAAAGTAAATTCAAAATGTTCTTATCATATTGTGGGTTTTTTAATACACCAGATTTATATTACAGTCTCAACAAATATGCCAAGAATATCCCTACTTGATGATAGTCCCTTGACTCTACATATACTTTTTGATTCCTTTGCTATAGTCATATGTCAGTTCACTTTACAGTTATTTATAACTGTAACAGTTACTTCTACTGTTAACTTACTTTATCCAAGATTGTACATGACTTAATTAGTGTACTGGAGGTGTAGTGTTATAGAAATACTATTATGTTAAGAAATTCACAGTTTTCATTTTAGGACTGTTGAAATATAGTTTAACAACATTGTTATACCTGATTACAATATACAGTATCCACAGAATTTTATGTTCCCTAGACAGGCTGTTAAGTTATGTTAGATCATGTGATGTCATGTTAGAGTTGAGAGAACAAACTCAGAAATTTTGCCACCTGAGTTACTGTGCCTCAGTTTGTTCATCTGCCAGATGGGAGTAATCCTTATTTTACTGGGCTATCACATGAATGAAATGAATCAACACATGTAAAGCCCACTTAGAATAATGCTTGGCACATATTCAAGAAACAAGCTCAGTAAACATGCTACTAGTAATATTTTTCAAAGAGACTTCATTTCATTTGTAAAATCTTGAATTAATATTTTGCTCTTTAACATAAATTGTCTATATTACCTATGTAAAAAGATGTAGTTATTTTTTGTATTTTTGATATTTTTTGCAGCAATCACACGACTACCTAAAATATCTTTGACCATTTGTGTTTAGTATACTATAGCAAACAGATCATGATTTTATCTACATTTTTATTTGACAGATATAGTAAATACATTTTATGTGCCAATGAAGTAGTATCAACATATGGTATCTGTTTCACGTTATTTGTATTATAAGGTCACTTATAGATTGGTCTGCTATATACTAAACTGTATTCTATCTTTCAAAGTTTAAGGAACTTTTTATTCAGTAAAATATTAAGCCTGTGATTACAAAATATACTGAAAGTAAATTATTTCAAAAATCTGAACACTAAAAATCATAGAAAATTTTGAAGAACAAATGTGGACTACAGTTAATTTATATGTTATAAAAATGTGTAGGGGCTGGCGCTGTGGCACACTTGGTTAATCCTCTGCCTGCGGTGTCAGTATCCCATATGTGCATCAGTTCTAGTCCTGGTTGCTCCTCTTCCAGTCCAGCTCTCTGCTGTGGCCCGGGAGGGCAGTGGAGGATGGCCCAGGTGTTTGGGCCCCTGCACCTGCATGGGAGACCAGGAGGAAGCACCTGGTTCCTGGCTTCTGATCGGTGCAGCGCTGGCCGTAGCGGCTACTTGGGGGGTGAACCAACGGAAGGAAGACCTTTCTCTCTGTCTCTCTCTCCCACTGTCTAACTCCATCTGTCAAATAAATAAAAAAAATACAAAAAAATGTGTATACACTCTTACCCAAAAATTACCTATAAATATGTTTTACTTTGAAAATTAAAGAATTTATCTTTCCTTGTTTTAATTTTAAAAGGATTTTTTAAATTATACTCATATTTTAATTTGTACCCTCTTAAGTGTTTGAAACAGACCTTCTATTTATGGAGTATAAAGTTAAGAGTGAAATTCTAATCTTTCAAATGTCTTGTTTAGGGGATTAATTTAACAGGTTTATTAGTGTGATATTTAGTGCATAATTATATAATGGAATTCTTCTATGTAATAGCCTAAACAAGCATGTTGCCTCTTTAGGATGAAAAAGCAGAAGGATTCATCAGTCTGCCTGAATTCAAAATTGATAGAGCCAGTGAATGCCGCAAGAAATAGTAAGTTGATTTTACTTGGGAAGAGGGAGAAAAGGGATTTTTTTAATTTCCAGCCTTTAAATTATAGGTTGCTTGTCTAATGCTTTCAAATTAAGGTAATAAAAAAGCAATTTTATGGGCAGAAAATTGAATTTTTTTCTGATTTCTTTCATCCTGGTAGAAACATTATATATGTGAACTCAGGTTAGATGTTGAGGTAATTTCATCCATAAAAATTACTTGGTTCAGACTCATTTCCCAATTTGTAATAATATCAGTGTACTTTGTTTCCTTTTACAGTGCATTCAAAGCCTGTCATCCTAAAATCAAAAGCTTTTATTTTGCTGCTGAACATCTTGATGATATGAACAGGTAATGTATTACTTAAATTTCAAAGCACTTAGAGAGTTGGGCCTAGAATTCTAAGTTTTTTACAGTAATGCTTAGAGAATAATGTCATTGAAGTTTCTAGATCCATCAGTTTAACATAAAATAGACCCAACTATAACTTCATGTAGCCATACCTAATTTTGGAGAACAGCAGTTACCCATGACATCATGTTGCAAACCTCAAATATACACAATAAGGTTACTTTAAAAATAAGTATGGAGGGTCTTTGATGCAACAATAAAGTTGCCACTTCTAGGAGTTTTGGGTTCTTGGATCCAGCCTGGCCCAGGTCTAGCTGTTGCAGGCATTTGGGGAGTAAACCAGTGATGGAAGATCCCTCTTACTCTATCTGACTGACTCTCTCTCTCTCTCTCTCTTCTCCTTCACCCCTTCCTTCCTCACAAATGAAATGAAAATAAATAAAAATTGTTAAAAAATGATATTTAGAAAGTCAAAATAAACTCATTATTTATCAAGTTTACAACAAAGGTGCCAGAATCCATATATAGGCCCCCCCAAAATCCCACCACAAAGATTTAAAAAAATTCACTTCAAGAATGTTTTAAAATGTATTCCCAAATAGCAAAAAAAAAAATGCCCACAAAAAGCTGAATTTTTAAGTGCTGTATATTTTTCAGAAAACATTCATCTCAATAATTCATGCCTAAGCAACATTAATATTGCTTTCTATCACTTTCCATCTATCACTGGAAAACACTATATAGCCAACTGATTAGTTGGTTCCACAGTTACTTGGTGACCCAGGAAAACCTTGTGTGAGTGTGTGTAGGGAGAAGGGGGTATGTGCCTGCACGTGTGTGTGTATGTGTACTTTCCCCCCATCATCTACTACACTCTGCTTCATTTCTCTGCTTCGGCTCTTTTGAGTTTTGTTCTTTCAACCTTTGCCTTTTCTTTACCATCTTCATTTTCTAGAATTTTAAAAATCAGGTTTAAGAACTTAAAGGTTGGCCAGCGCCATGGCGCACTAGGCTAATCCTCCACCTAGCGGCGCCAGCACACCGGGTTCTAGTCCCGGTCGGGGCGCCGGATTCTGTCCCGGTTGCCCCTCTTCCAGGCCAGCTCTCTGCTGTGGCTAGGGAGTGCAGTGGAAGATGGCCAAGTGCTTGCCCCTGCACCCCCATGAGAGACCAGGAGAAGCACCTCGCTCCCTGCCATTCGAATCCAGACCGGTGCGCCGGCCGCAGCGCGCCAGCCACGGCGGCCATTGGAGGGTGAACCAATGGCAAAGGAAGACCTTTCTCTCTGTCTGTCTCTCTCACTGTCCACTCTGCCTGTCAAAAAAAAAAAAAAAAAGACTTAAAGGTTTCCCCAGTTATAACTTCAGCAGGCGATGCACATTACATATAAAATCTGCCTAACATTAGGGTGAAGCACCACAGCATGGTGGTCAGAAGTATGGACTTGGGAACCAGACTATGTAATCCCAGCTCTACTACTTACTAGCTCTGTGATCTTAGAAGAACTTGGCCGTTGCATGTCTGTTATTGTGTAGTCTGTACAATAGATGGGTTGTGATAGTAATCATCCCAGTCCCAGCTCTGCCACTTACTAGCTGTGTAACGCTGGGCAAGAAACTTATCCTCTCTATGATAGTTTATTGACCCTTTTGGAAATGTCCAGTGTTAATATGTATTCTTTTTGTGTTTCCCCCATGTAGCTTTCTTTCTGTGTTTCTAAAAAAAGACTCCAGTGGCCGGCGCCGCGGCTCACTAGGCTAATCCTCCGCCTAGCGGCGCCGGCACACCGGGTTCTAGTCCCGGTCGGGGCGCCGGATTCTGTCCCGGTTGCCCCTCTTCCAGGCCAGCCCTCTGCTGTGGCCCGGGAGTGCAGTGGAGGATGGCCCAGGTGCTTGGGCCCTGCACCCCATGGGAGACCAGGAAAAGCACCTGGCTCCTGGCTCCTGCCATCGGATCAGCGCGGTGCGCCGGCCGCAGCGCGCCGGCCGCGGCAGCCATTGGAGGGTGAACCAACGGCAAAGGAAGACCTTTCTCTCTGTCTCTCTCTCTCTCACTGTCCACTCTGCCTGTCAAAAAAAAAAAAAAAAAAAGACTCCAGTGAAACAGTATTTTGATAAATGTGTTTGAACACACTAAATGAACATTTAATGTGCTTTTACAAATAATCTTTGACACTTGTAAATGTAAGCATGGCTTTTCCAAAGCAAGGGTGTTGACAACACTTGATTCAATCTTTTGTTATTAATAAGGAACTGAGCCTTTTGGCCGGCGCCCGCAGCTCACTTAGCTAATCCTCCACCTGCAGCGCCAGCACACGGGGTTCTAGTTCCGGTTGGGGCGCCAGTTCTGTCCCGGTTGCTCCTCTTCCAGTCCAGCTCTCTGCTGTGGCCCGTGAAGGTGTGGAGGATGGCCCAAGTGCTTGGGCCCTGCACCCGCATGGGAGACCGAGAGGAAGCACCTGGCTCCTGGCTTCGGATCGACGCAGCACGCCGGCTGTAGCGGCCATTTGAGGGGTGAACCAACAGAAGGAAGATGTTTCTCTCTGTCTCTCTCACTAACTCTGCCTATCAAAAAAAAATATGGAAGTGAGCCTTTCATATAGTTTCCATAATCTCTCCATTTATATGATCTAACAGTCTTGAAATTTCACACTGGGCGTTCAGATTTGGATAGCATTTAGTTTTCATTCTCAGAATGAAAATGTTTACTCACATGCACTTGGCAAGAATATGTCATACTCTATTTTGTATTTTAATTATTTTCTAATTCTCCTATTCTGATTACTCACTCTCCAGTTTACCACATTAATCTCAATGCCTGTGGGATAAATATGAAGAGTTTATATAATAATCAAACTGAAAATAATTAGTATACCTGAGCATATCCCATCTTAGAAGGTGGATATTCTAGAACCTAGTTACCTCCCTCTAATAGTTAGAATAATTTCATATTTCCTGATACATGCTGCTTGGAATCTTTTTATGCTTAGGAATTACGTGTTTAATTGCATTTTTAAAGACTTATTTATTTATTTGGAAGGAGTGATTGAGAGAGAGGGAGAGACAGAGATGGATCATTTGCTGGTTCATTCCTCAAATGGCCACAAGTGCTAGGGCTGGGCCAGGCCAAAACCAAGATTCTGGCACTCCATCTGGGTGTCTCATCTGGGTCGCAGTGTCTCAAATACTTGAGTCATCATCTACTGCTTTCTAGGAGCATAAACAGCTAAATTGGAAGCAGATCAGCCAAGACTTAAACTGGCACTCTCATATGGGATTCAGGCATACTAAGTGGTGGCTTAACCGCTGCTCTATAACACTTGCCACTAAAAACGCATTTTTATGAACCGTATTACCTTTCTTGGCCTCCATCCCCCACCCCATGTCACCAAAAGCTTCAAGTTGACATTTTGTTAATGCTCTTCCGTAATACTGCTGTGGATGTATCTGGTTGTAAGTGTCACAGAAAAGGCTAAACCAAACCCATGTGGTTCATTTTATTACTTTTTCTAAGCAGTGGATCAAAGGGGAAAAATGGATATTACCAAAAATGTCATGTGTGCATCATACATTTAAGAGGGCTGTTTTATATAAGGTTTGCCATGTTATACTACAACTTTCAGAATTAAATTAACCTGAAATACTGGACTGTTCTTTAATGATAATGGATTTTTATTGTTTTGCTTTGCTTTCTCTTTTTTATAATCTTATCCTTAATATATGCTTTCTTTTTTTTTTATTTTTTGACAGGCAGAGTGGACAGTGAGAGAGAGAGAGAGAGAGAGAAAGGTCTTCCTTTGCCGTTGGTTCACCCTCCAATGGCCGCCGCGGCCGGCACGCTGTGGCCGGCGCACCGCACTGATCCGATGGCAGGAGCCAGGAGCCAGGTGCTTTTCCTGGTCTCCCATGGGGTGCAGGACCCAAACACTTGGGCCATCCTCCACTGCACTCCCGCGGGCCATAGCAGAGAGCTGGCCTGGAAGAGGGGCAACCGGGACAGAATCCGGCACCCTGACTGGGACTAGAACCCGATGTGCCGGCGGTGCAGGCGGAGGATTAACCTATTGAGCCACGGCGCCGGCCAATATATGCTTTCAATAGGCATATTTTTAATGACTTGTCAATATACATGTGCAGTGACTGTTCCTCGCCACCGCCGGAAAATTAGGCAGGCTGCCCGCAGCTTGTCTTGACCGAGGAGGGGAAGTGCGCCACCCACCACTCAGCCTTCCCCAAACCCGAGGGACAATCAGACGAGGTGTGGAGCCCAGTGGAAGCAGGGTCTCACTTTACTGTAAAAGGGAGGTGTATATATAGCTGAGGTACAGAGCGGATGGTACAGAGCAGATGAGCCAATGTGGGCAAGGGGTGGGGTGTTGTGATGCAAAAGGGTCTTAGCCACTCCTATTATAGCACCTTAATGATCCTTAGGCAGAAGCGCCCTGGGGCTGGGGTGTTTGCTACCAGGGATTTGAAACTTAAAGTCAGGTTTTCAAATTCGAGGCAGGCTCAGAAAGTTCCTCTAGGCCTCTCCGGATTCAGCGTCCCCCACAGACATGAGAAAGAGTGGTAAAAATATTCACAGAAGATTAGCGATGAGGAGAGATACCCACCTACAGCCTCGTTGTCACATAACAGGAAAAATGATCTAGATGTTTCTAATGGAGAAAGGCTTCGGGGGAGCAAATAATGGGGTTGGGGAAGTTAGAGAAAAGGTTTTCCAAGATATATGGCCAATTGGCCATGTCCTCAGATATATGAGCAAGAATTCAACATAGAAGGGGACAGATTTAACAGCACTTGCAAAGGTAGAAAATCAATGAAAGGAGCATTGACTGGGTGAGTGGCAAAATATAGATAGCACACCCAGCGTGTTGTTTACTTGTGCTGCAGCCACCGGCCCCACGTGTTCACTGAGCACTTTGAAATGAGGCTGGTCTGAATTGAGAGGAACGAATCAAAGTGGAATGCACATATGGTTTTAATGATTTAGTATGAAGAAAAGAATGTAGAATATCTGTCACAATTTTATATTGATTACATGTTGAAATGATAATATGTTACAAATAAAATATATTACTAAATTTTTTAAAACTATATGGGTATTGAGGCCGGCACCGTGGCTCAATAGGCTAATCCTCCACCTTGCGGCGCCGGCACACCGGGTTCTAGTCCTGGTCGGGGCGCCGGATTCTGTCCCGGTTACCCCTTTTCCAGGCCAGCTCTCTGCTATGGCCCGGGCAGGCAGTGGAGGATGGCCCAAGTCCTTGGGCCCTGCACCCGCATGGTGCAGGCTCCTGGCTCCTGGCTTTGGATCAGTGCGCTGCGCCGGCCGCAGCGTGCCAGCCATGGCGGCCATTGGAGGGTGAACCAACGGCAAAGGAAGACCTTTCTCTCTGTCTCTCTCACTGTCCACTCTGCCTGTTCAAGAAAAAAAAAACTATATGAGTATTGAATATAATTTTTATAAGCATGTACCCAAGTTTTCAAAAGATGATATATTAAAAATTAATAAATATATTTATCAGATTGTTTCATAAGTTTTAAGTATTATATCTACCTTTAATGAAAATAAATGATGGTACAGAGAATTTTTTTGTCTTTCATATATAAAAACATAGTGACAGGACCTAGTAATTTTAGTTAAAAAGTAATCCTCAAATTTAATTTTCTTCTATAAAATCTGAGTACATACAGATACACATAAACACATACATTTATATACCTAAACATATATATGCATATGAATACTTGCACATATGACAATAAAATGTCACCTTCTGTTTTTGAGCAGCTATAAGTTTGGTTTTGAGGTAATTTGCAAGAAATTTTTGAGCACCCAACTAGCATCCATCTCTTCCCTCAGAAATGAGCTTTGAAACATGTTTTTCAGATCTCTCTGAAATTTATAGGGAGAAAACAAATATTTCTCAAGTATTCTGAGGTTTATTAGCTGAATATGTTACATTCCTTACTGTGTCAGTATATATGTCCTAATTGTGGGGACTCAACAATTTCTATCTAATATTTACTAGTTATACATTTTTCTTATAATGATTATTCTTATTTCCCTCTCAATCGATTCTTCTGTGTCAATCTAGACATGGTGTTAGAGTGTTCACTGTAGGTCCAGTATCCCTTTTCTTGTTTTAAAGCATTGGTGATAGGGTGAGAGACTGAATGTAAACCTAATGTAGAAGAACTTTCTCATCTTTATAGTGAAAAGTTTCTAAACTTAGTACTTGTTTCCCTGATAACTTTACCTACAATAGCCTTCTCTTACCCATGACACCTTTAACATTCTAATCTTACCTTTCTTTCTGTCTTTTTTTTAAATAACATTTGCGACTACTTCACATGGTATGACTATTTATTGTGTTTCTCCTCAGTTAGATCTGGGTATCTTGAAGGCAAACACTTGTCTTGTTTATCTCTGTGTCCCCAATGCCTAGAATAGTACCTGACACACATGGCTCTCAACAGATATTTCTTGAATCAGTAAATGCGTATCTGCTTTCACAGTAGTCCACAAATACCAAATCACAACTGTAGTAAATGTATCAAGAAGCATCTTCTAGCTGAAGCCTTAAGGGCAAGTTTATCTAAGACAGCACCAACAACTGTGTAGTCTTAAACCCTGGATTGCTATATTCAATGGCCTTAGTATATCCACACATTTTCCAAAGAGGTTTTATTATGAACAGTTTTTCTTCCCAATAGTAATTTATCAGTTGTCTTATAATATTTAGCAGTTTTAGAGTTCACTGGATGCATGTACTGTATCACTCATTACTGTGTTCCTGAAACCTGTCTCATTGTTCAGTACAAACTGGGCACTTAATAAATGTTATTTAAGGAAAAAATTGAGGAAATCTCTTTTTAGTTTCCTGACTCAGCTCATTAGACTTCTGATAAAATGAAATTCATTGCTATTTTTGAAGTTATAAATATGAGGCACTAGATTACTGGATTAAAATTCAATAATAAATTTTCCTTCAATAGTATTGTCACTTTCATCCAAAAAGCTGCAGTCCAGTCTTTCCCAAGAGTGGTAAGATTTGCCTTGTAATACGAACTGAATTATTTCTCCTAATAAATGAACATTAGTCTAGATTTTGATTTTGGCCCTTTACTTATTATTAGATTCATTCTTAAAAGGTTATTTGTGATGAACTTGACTTGTTGAGTTATAGTTTGTAATTTTCAGAAGTGTGTATATGTATATACCATGCTACTGAATTTGTTTGATCAATTTTATTTCATATCTACTCCAGTCTCTTCTTCACTTGCCTAACATATTTGAAATTATCATTACATTGTGGGTTTTACCAAAATAAAGTTGAGCTATAAGTGACTTATTCCTATAATTAAATTTCCATAAATGTGATTTTGTCTGTTAGAGATGCAACTTTCCTCCATTTTCAAGACATTTTAAGTATCGGATGCACAGTTAATACCACTTGGCATAAATGGTGAAATAAATGAGTCACTTAAAAGAATACCATCTTCCCCTTGGCAAGAGAGATAAGATATTAAGAGAAAAAGTCCTTAAAAGTTTTTCTTAAAACTATATCTAAATCAGATTATTCCACAATATTGTATATTGTATTGACTATACTAGCAATTCCAAACTTACCCAAGCTAGTCTGGAAGGCAATTCTTCTTCAGTTTCTGATTTAGGATAATACATGCATCATGGCTCAGGATTGACCAATAGGAGATTGTCTTGTTGTTGAAAGGTTTTGTGACTTGATAATCTGATGCAGTATAAATAGTAAGAATAATGGACACAGGGAGAACACTGGTGGGACATAAGAAAGACAGTGGAACACTTGACTTCTGGCAATCCCTACACTGATAATAACAGCACTACTAAAAGAGGAAAGAACTAAGATTCATTTTTAATTTACTATTTTTCATAAATACATTTTTAGTATCAAAGCAGAGCTTAAAATCATACATGCTTATTGTGTCTTTGGAAAACCTAATATCCTCAAATTGAGAGACAAGTTTCAAAAGTACTCTCAAAACGTGTTTCTCCTTGGATTATTAAACTTAGCTTAAGCAAAGCTACTAGTATGATTTAATAGTAAAACTGTTATTTTGGCAGGCAAGGTCTGTAATTTTACCCTTATGAGGATAAATTAGATCTTATATTCCTTCAATATCTCTAAAGCATATGCTCTGAAGAAACAGAACAGCAGGAATATTTGGAGCATTTCTATGTTTAGAGCAATAGAATTAATATGGCTTTGGTCATCTTAAAACTGTATCCTACAGATATTATAGATGTTATAGTTCATTGAAGACACAACATGTCAAGAATAACAAAGAGCATATCTTATATGTAGGATTATTCCAAACAATTAACTATCTTAAAATAAATATCCCAAAGAAGTAAATAATAAAAAAGAACTTTCAATGTTAGTAATTTTAATTTTGTTTTTTTCAGATGGCTTAACAGAATTAATATGCTGACCGCAGGATATGCAGAGAGAGAGAGGATTAAACAAGAACAAGGTAAATGAATACTTTTTAATTGTGTAGTATTTTTCTCTTCCAATTATGCTATTCAGCAATTCACTGCTATCACTATAGAAAAAATATTTATGTCAATATGTAGTTATTTCTCTTCTTTGAACTTTGAGTCTAGACCATAGCAACTTCTAGATAACACTGAGTAAACTAAACTGATAAGGACTGAACTCTGAAGTTTTTGGAATACCTCATCTTGAGTTCTCTCCTGTTTGTTGCCTTATCCTTCTATTTCCTATGATAAAACAAAATCTAAAAATGAAAAAGCCTGTAATAGCTCCTATGTATTGACCCAAGTCCAGGTCCTTGTCAGTAAGGGGAGATATTTTATTATTATTTAGCCGGGTTTTTTAGACATTTAGCTGACCTTTTATGCAAAGAGATCAGATGAATGATCTCTTCCTTCATAAATTATCTCATTGGTTATATTCTTCAGCTATGTTATTGTGTATCTCTGTGATCTTATGGAGTTTTCATTGGTGTGACTTCAGATTTGTGAAACACAGTGTCATGCTGCAGAATTAAAATCATGGTGCAGAACTGAAATTTAAGAATGAAACTGTGATCATTATTCGGACTTCACATTTGTCAAAGGATATTTGTTGTATACCCCTTGGAAGCATGAATAGTTTTTTTGAATTTATTGGAGACATCCTAATGATAAAAAAAAATCTACAGATTCACTCACACACACACACAAATACTTATTTGTAGTTGTATCCCCACTGAACATGTCCAATTTGTTGTAGAGATTTTAAAAACCTTCTATCTCCTCTTAGAGTAAAAATCTCAGCCAAACCTTTTAAAAACATCTAAAAATTGAAGTTACAGATATCTAAAGAAGAAAGCTACTTCCCAACACCAATATGCCAGCAAGTATTTAGGCAGCAGTCATTAAACTTTTCTATAAAGAACTAAATAATATTTGGAATTTGCCATCTATATGGTTTCAGTCAGAGCTACTCAGCTGTGCTCCTATAGTATAAAAGCAGCCAAGACACTTGAATGGCTGTGGCTGTGTTCTATGCATATTTATTTATGAACACTGAGATTTGGATTTCATATCACTTTTCATACTTAGAAAAATACTCTTCTTTTGATGGTTTTAGCCATTTAAAATGTAAAAAACAGTCCTAGTCCATAGGCTATATAAAAGCAGGCAGAAGGCTGTGTTTGAACTACAAAGTGAGATGTATCAACACTTGGTTTGGGCCATTGGATGAGGAAATGGAGATTAATGGATTGGTGTGAAGTTAGGAAATGAGGCAGGAAGATGGAAAGTAAATAGCAAAACAGAGTTGCTGCCAATGGGAATGTATCCTATTAATGGGAACCTCAAAATGCATACTTAAAATTACATAAGAAAAGAGCAATGTAAAAAACTAATATTAATTTTATGTGGTAAGCAACTTACAACAAAAATTGCTGAGTGTATATTAAAAATAATTTTTGAGCTGACAATGAGGAAGCACTGATGAGAAAATGCTTGCTGGAGAAAGCAGTCAATGAGCCTGAAATAAAGTCAGTGAAGCTGATGTAAAGCAGAACAAGAGAGAAGATACTTTGTTCAATCCTGAGTGTTTCTCTAGCAGGCCTTACCGAGTACTCTGATCACATAAAGGTGAATTAGGCACCCATCCTGCCTGCAGTTATACTGCATTCGGGCAGAAAAGATTCTTAATACGATATAGAAAGTGCAATGTAAGAAATTGCAAATCAAGTTCCATGGTAATGAGGCTGGAGAGAATCCTTCCAGGAGTGGAATGAGGAAAGACTTTACATTGGCTGTTTTCTAAACTGGCCTTGCAGGATGGGCAGGATGTGGACTCAAGAATGTAAAACGCCCTGAGGAGTAGGTGTGGCATGGGTACTTCTACAAATAATATGGGAGCCATCTCTATCAGATCAGTGGGCGTAGACAAATCTCAGCCCAGACTGTGATGTGTGAAACAATAGTTATTAAGACATTTGATAATGATTAAAAGTGTATTCCTTACCACAATGCTCAATATAATTTATAATCCGAAATTTTTGATAAGATTTCCTTTTAAGTTGTCTTTAAAAGCCATAAAATAATTCTTTAAAAGTACTTATAGATTTTTTCTGATTTTTAAAAAATACAACTATAAGTATGGATAATGTACTAATACAAAAATGAATCTTTGAAAAAAGTCAATTTGTGTAAACAGGAAAGCATGAATTTTCAGGCTTAACTTCTGTATTTTATCACTTGAGCCTGGTCTTGATTTCAGTGAATTTCCTTTATACTTGGTATTATATAGCTGAATTTCTTTATGAATAAGATACCTAATAAGTTGCATTGAACATGCAGGATCAAAAAGTATTTATTGTGCAATTCTTGTTGCCCTGGTCTGTCATGTTCAGTACATATCTTAGCACCTATTGGAGTGTGATTGAAAGCCATAAGTAGAAGCTCAAAGTTGCAATTCAAGTTTCTCTTACTAATTGAATGCAACCAGAATTTCTGAAATAATTTTAATTTCCACATGAGTTGTGTGTTCCTCATATACTTTAACATAGGTCAAAAATAAGACTTCCTACCTCCTTCATGATTGGGTTTCATGGCATTCTGTAAAGAAAACTACTAGATGCACTTGTCACATGACATTTTCGTATAGTCATTTAACATCTTCTGAGTATCATTCTCAGTGTGACAGTTTAGCTTCATAAAAATACAGCTTTTTGAGCATTGATAGTATGCAAGATACAAAGGAATACCTGCCAAACACTCATTAAATTTAAAGATCCAAAGAGCTTAGAAATGACACTTGCACTGACTTTAATAAAAGTTTAATGAGTTGCTGCCTTTAATTACAGAAGTTTAAAGAATGTAGGCTTTTCTTTTAGTATTTGTTGTTATGCTTAGAGAAAATAGGGTTACACTAAATTTGGCCAGGATAATTTTTGGTTAATTGTCTGCTAATTGTGTTTCTGTTGCTTTCCAGCTTCAAGTCAGACATTCATTATATATTATTTTCAATCACATGTAAGGTCTTTGTAAATCTCTAATCCCATAGGAATGAATGAAGTACACTATATTTCTTCGATATCTCTAAATGAAAAAGTTAGTTTCAAATTATTCTTTTGTATCAACATGAGAAAGTAAAGTGGAAGTTTTCTTCTTCTAGGTGCCATTTATTCTTGATTACATATAAAGCTGTAAGAGACATTAAATGTATCCACTTATTTTGAGCTAGATGTAGAACTAAGAAAAATAATTTTCTTCTAGAATAAAAATCAAACTAATTTGAGCCTGTAAGAAACAGTGTGCATTCAATTTTCCACACAAACTCAAAAAATCCCAACTACATTTCTTATGTCAGTTCTTCTCTGGCATTGCTCTCTCAGAGACACACAGTTTAGAATAAAAAATGAAAATTAATTTACAAAGTGATATGTCAACCTCTTAGGCAATCCAATAAAACTTTAGGTTGATGGTATCTTTAATAAGCCAAGAACTACATAACGTGGTAGATTATTATTCCTCCTAAATTGGCTGGTGAGGGAAGAGGACAGTAGAGAGAACCTCCCAAAATATGTCACTTCTAATGACAGCTATAGAGCCCTTGATAAAATGGTGACCATCTCCCTCTCAGTGTGCTAATAAGGACTATTGAGGTGCTAACTCTTTTGGCCCCATGGTATCATTGCAGACCTCTAAGTGAAATTCAGCTTGAGTGCCATATTTCCTAGCAACAGTGGGCAGGATAAGGGCTGAGTGATCTTGGCAAGCCTGCTGCTTTGGGAGGCTGCTTAGTCCTTCACCTCCAGCAATGACTTCCTAATAGTACTTCACGTTCTTACCAACCCAGGCCCCAGGGCTCCAGATTTCATTTTGTCATCACTGAAACTTACTGCAAGAAATAACTAATGTGTGAAAGGATGAACACCAGGTATTTATCACCTATATGATCTGGGTCAGACTGTCCTGACATGCCATCTAAAAACACACCCAAGAAGATAAGGGATCCCAATATTTTTTGAGCACTTCCAAGTTACAAGGCACTTGAATATATGTTACTTTATTTAGTGCCCCTACCCTCATAACTCTGAAAATTAGTTATTATTAGCCATCTTTTACAGAGGATAAGACAAACTCAGAAAGGTTAAGTAACCATCTCAAGAGACCAGAAGGATGATAAGTGGTCTAGCCAAGAACTGAACCCACACCTGTCTCAGTATATAGTATATAGTCCATGCTTTTTCATCAGCACTTTCTGGATACATTTCTGGGCAACTATGTTAATTCATATTGGAGGGAAGACATACTATACTTGCTGTCATCTGCGTGATCCAGTAGGGGAACAGATATCAAATTAAGTAGTTCTTGCTTGTCTTTTATTCAGAGGGGATAATTAAAATATGAATTGAATTTTGAGGGTCCTTCTGTTTGATACCTTAATATAATGGACAATTTATTTTATTCCCAATCTCCATTGTTGAAGAGTTTATATTCACAGTACCCAGAGTTATAACAGAAAGAGATAGGGAATTAAATGATCAATATACTTCATATCAGTCTCTCCTCTATGTTATACAAAGAGACCCAACAACTTAATCATCAGATGTTAAAGGCAAGGCATTTTTAGTTCCTACCCCAGCTCTACTACATTCTATTCAGCATATAATAATTTCTTAACAAAGGTTAGCTGTACTTATTAATAATCTTTATCACTGCCCTCTTGGAGAGGGTTTCCTATAAATATATATTTCATGATTTTTCAACCAAATCTGAGTATTAACCCTTGTGATGGTTATTTTACCTTTTCTCATCTGAAATTGGTATGGATAATGAGGCTGGCCAGTGGGGCTGGGAGTCTGTGGGCCCCTGCACACACAGGTCGAATGTCCTTCACAAGCAGGCTGCCAGCTGTGGCTGCAAAGCCTGTCTCCAGACCAACTGGATCTCCCCCACTAACAGCATCTTGTGATGCCTGTGTGACCTTGCGGCCTTAAATGACACCTTCAGGGTGGGTGCAGTCTCACCCACAGCTGGCAGGGGAAGGGGCCAAGCCCCTGGGGAGAGTCAGGCTGGTTCCAGGAGATCCAGGCTATCTTGTGTGACCTTGTGGCCTTAAATCACACCTTCAGGGCAGCTGCAGTCTTTCACCCAGAGCTAGCAGAGGAGGGGTCTGAGTCATTAAGGAGACAGTCTCCAGGAGACTCCCCCCCATCTCCGTGAGCCCCAAGCCAATCAACATATGTATGTGAAACCCCCTGTCCAATGGGCACCCCGATAGGATGACCCAATGGGCAGACAGTAATGTCTTAAAAACCTGGGACACTTCCTGGAAGCCAGTGTCCCGCTCCAGCAATCCGCCTGGGCTCTTCTCGGAGCAGACGCTTTCTCTGTCACTTGCCGATCGAATAAAAGTTTCTTCCTCTTTGCAAATTGTTTCCAGGCTTTTTCTTTCTATACTAAGCTGAGCAAAAGAACCCATGAGACTCGCTCCAGCAACTGCCCTCCCCCTCTGTGACCAGTAACAGATAATACTTCTGTTTTTGTTTTTTGTTTTGGTAAATCATAGGAAGAATTAACGCAACAGGAATGGGCTGGTTGAGAGATTAGTGGAACAGATTCTGATTACTGGCCTTTTTGCTGCATTTGACTTCCTCTAGTAATGCATCTCTCAGAGTTCTTCCCCCTCCCTCTTGCCTGAGGCCTGCCAAGGCACTTTGTCTAGCGGCTTGTATTCTCTGCCCTTTCAAGTAGCTCTGGAAGTTTGGAACTTGCAGCCCACATCAGCAGATTTGCCCTTTTGCATTTGGCAAGAATCAGGGTTTGCCATGTGTTTCCAAGGGGAGGTGGGAGTTTGGTGTTAAAGAGATTCATGTCAGCATGACTCTGGAAACAGTGATTGTTAGATAATCACTGAATATAAGCCAGAGGAGAAAATTGAGAACATTATTTTTTGGAGCTGTTTATAACTCTAGAGAGCTACAGTGATGTATTTATTGCTTTTCTTTGAGTATTCACCTTTAGGATGAGATGATACACTTTTTTTCAAAGGTTTATTTATTTATTTGAAAGTCAGACTTACACAGAGAGAGAAGGAGAGGCAGAGAGAGAGACAGAGGTCTTCCATCTGCTGGTTCACTCCCCAGCTGGCCGCAATGGCCGGAGCTGTGCTGATCCAAAGCTAGGAGCCAAGAGCTTCTTCCAGGTCTCCTATGTGGGTGCAGGGGCCCAAGTACTTGAGCCATCTTCTACTGCTTCTTCCCAGTCTCCTATGTGGGTGCAGGGGCCCAAGTACTTGAGCCATCTTTGCTTTCCCAGGCCGTAGCAGAGAGCTGGATTGGAAGTGGAGCAGCTGGGACTTGAACCATCACCCATATGGGATGCCGGCACCACAGGCGGTGGCTTTACCCACTACACTATAGTGCCGGCCCCAAGATGATACACTTTTAAGAAGGATCCTGTGATGCCATTTATTTAATAAAGCTTCAGGATAATTTCATCTGGAATCTAAAGTACCTTAAACCTGATTTCACATTTGCAGTGTTCTTTTGCTAATTTCCTAAAACCGTGACTGTGTGTAATCACTTACATTAAAAAGAGGTTAGAAGTAGGCGGTACACTTTTCCTTCCTTCTCCAAACCCCATTGAAAATAAAAGTTGGTGGGCCCTGGGGTATAGGAATGCTGGGGATCTTGGTATAGGGATGGAATTTAAATTAACTTTTGTTAAATGGTAGTTTATGTTCCTCAAAATATGGCTATAAATATCTAATAGCATGTTGATATATCCATGTGTGTGAATTTTCAGATTACTGGAGTGAGAGTGACAAGGAAGAAGCAGATACTCCATCAACACCCAAACAAGACAGCCCCCCACCCCCCTATGATACATACCCACGACCTCCCTCTGTAAGTACCAACAGATATGGATGGATGGATGGATAGATAGATGGATCGATCACCAGGTTAATTAATATATCTCCAGATTCTTTTAACCTGAAACATCTCTTTGTATGTTCAAAAAATATTGTTTAGTGGATTACATTTCAAACCTCAAGTTCCTTAGAGGAAAAGAAAATTGGGGCCCTAAAATCAGTAAGCAACACGTTTAAGTGTACAGAGAATACTAATTAGGAGAAACAGTCACCACAGATTTCAGGCAAGATAATTATCTGACAGTTTTATTAGGAAAATAGACTGTGTCAGAATATTGTTCATAAAGATATCAGCAGTGTTTTGGCATGTAACTTTTTACATGGCCATAGGATCCGGTTTAATGTCTATGTTTACATGGTGCCTGTTTCCCATCAGAATTACCAGGAATGTCTTAGTGGCATCCCAGTTGAAACACTATGTTCTGTGGATATATTGCCATAAGAATCAATTCTGCCCATCTTGAGACTTAGTCTTTCACACAGAAAATGGAAGCTTAATTTAAGTGACAACAATAGCCAATCTAATTCAACCTCCATATTACTCAAGTAGGATAATTTTTAATTTCCCTCTTTCCCTAAAACATTAAGACCTGAATAATTACTTAACATATTTATGAAAGAGGAAAAAGAGTAAGCTGCAGCTTCATTGTGTAAACATTGGAACTTGCGCATTCTAAGAAGGAAGCTATTCACATTATTATTAACATGTGGGAAGGTAACAGCCTGCCCAAAGAAGATGCCAAGTAACTTCCCCTCCCTTACCAGGACAGGTGGCATGCACCTGTACTTCAGGCAGGCTTGTCCTGGCCACAACCGTGGCCCTAGTTTGTGAGGATCACATTTCACAAATCTGGCAGGGCTGATCTGTTAGCCCCAGAGCCAGAGTAAGGCTTGTTGCATTAGGGTTCACTGCAAGTATTTTACAACATTCACTTGATGCCTTTTTCTTGGTTATACTTGTATTCACAAACTTTAAATTCTAGTGAAAAAAATATTCCATTATTTTTGTGCTTATGGGCCCTGCAGTGTCATGGTCAATGCAAACGCTAATCCCTAAGAAAGTATAGTCACATCCTGCCTATATTTCTAACCTTTCAGAAAATGCCATAGAATTTACACAACTGCAAAACAGCTTCTCAGTGGCACCCATAGGAGCCACTTGTGAAGAAGAGGCAGGGTTCGTTTTATAAGGGAACTAGTTATTACATGCAAAAGCCTCTCTACTTGCCTTCACCTCCAAGCTCTGTAATGTCCAGAAACAAGAATCTGGGGAAAATACTTCTTTGGAATTTGAAAATATGTAGAGATTTTAAACTTTGGATTTTTTTTTTTACTGAATATTTCTTTTGTACATACTCACGTGTTGTCATACTTTCATTGAAAAATTTTGCATGTCAAAGTGTCAGTGAAATCTGGTATCCCTGCATTTCAATACATCCACTTAAACTGTAATCTAGGCCTAACTTTAAAACGTCTGCAAACTTGCCTCATTATTTCTCTAAGGGCTGATTACAGACTTCTTTCCACAGATGAGTTGTGCCAGTCCTTATGTGGAAGCAAAACACAGCCGACTTTCCTCCACAGAGACTTCTCAGTCTCAGTCTTCCCATGAGGAGTTTCGCCAAGAAGTAACTGGGAGCAGTGTGGTGTCCCCCATTCGCAAGACAGCCAGTCAGCGCCGCTCCTGGCAGGATCTAATTGAGACGCCACTGACAAGTTCAGGGTTACACTATCTTCAGACTCTTCCTCTGGAGGATTCTGTCTTCTCTGACTCCGTGGCCATCTCCCCAGAACATAGGCGGCAGTCCACTCTTCCAACTCAGAAGTGCCACCTACAGGATCACTATGGGCCGTACCCCTTAGCTGAGAGTGAGAGGATGCAAGTGCTAAATGGAAATGGGGGCAAGCCTCGAAGTTTTACCCTGCCTCGAGATAGTGGGTTCAACCACTGTTGTCTGAATGCTCCAGTTAGTGCCTGTGACCCACAGGATGATGTGCAACCCCCGGAAGTAGAGGAAGAAGAGGAAGAGGAGGAAGAGGAGGAGGAAGAGGAAGAGGAAGGGGAGGCAGCAGGTGAAAACATAGGAGAAAAAAGTAAGTATGTTTATGGAGATTCTTAGCTTGTGTATACCAAATCCTAACCTTTTAAATTGGTTTATTTGAAGAAAATAGAATTTTGCTTCCTTTCTTGTTAAAATAATAGTCTTGCTGCTCAGGAAGTTCAGTCTCCCCTGGTGTCCTACTTTCAGAACCCCAGTAACTTGGGAAAAATGATGAGTAATGAAGTTTATGGCCAAGGACACCCACAGCTGGAGCAAATAACTTTTTTCTCCAACTACCTATTTGCCTTTTTAAGGTTAATGATATTTTTTCTTTTCCTTCCTTATCCACTTGCTTCTCACTTTCATGCATCATCTCCTTGGTCCACAGTGGTTGCCCCCTGAGTTTGTATTAGTTAACCATAAATGCTTCTAGTGGGGTGTTAACAGAGCCTTGATTGAGTAAGTGGATGCACACACACAACCCAACCCACACATGCACATACATATCTTCCTTTTTCACTGTCAGAAGCTTTAAAGAAAAAAAATCTAAAAGACAATTTTTTTCCCAAGGAGGGATTTCACATAGCATTTCTGTCAACTCTAAATAGCTGAACTTCTTTTTAGAAACCAATTTGTCAAATACATCCATCTACTTTCTTGGTATGTATGTTGATTACAAAACTCAATTTAACTGAATCAACTCTTAAGAGAGACAAGCCAGTTAAGTAATCCTGTATCTTGTTGGCATTAAGAATCTATTTACTGGTTATCAAGTTCTTTATTCAACATGCTATACCAAGCATCTGTTTATAACTAACATAATACACTGGCCCAGAAACAGGTGAATTTAACAAAAAAGTTATAACTCAGTTATTTTAGTTAGAAAGAAGTCTAGATTTGACTCTAAGTCCTGAACATAAAATGCGAAAGAAAAAATAGCATAGATGAAATGGTATAAAGCAGTGTGCAATTCTTCACCCAAAATACAGTCCAAGCCAATTAGTGCAGATAACTTGAGCCAGTGATGAAGCTACAATTACTGATTTGATCCCCCTAGGGCAGGGTTGGGGAAAATCCAGCCTTTGGGCCATATAACATCCACTAAATCATTGGTTCTGGCCCTGCCAAGGCAACTGCAGGCAGGACTTGGGAATTCAATAAATCTATAGCAGGTGAATTTTTAAAGTGATAATTTTGTAGACAGTGAAAATGGTGTTATAAATATCCAAATGGCCCTTCACAGAAAAAAATAAGTTTCCCAGCCCTGCAGGGTCATTGGACTTCTCTTTTTAAAGGATATAAGCAGAATGTCACCTTCAGCCTATTTTGCAAGTATGCAAGCTCCACTATGGGATATATCACTGTTGTTAGGTTCTTCATCATTACTGGAAAAACAACTCAAAATTCACAGGCTATGAACAGGTTAGGAGCCCAATGGCCATGTGAACTGTGGCTCTTTTACAGTGAGAGTCACTTCGAAAGTGATTGACCAGAGAATACAGTGGATTTCCTTTTATGGTATGAATCTTCCTTGGGTTATTTAGTTGTAATTAAATTGTATCTTCCACCAGCAAAGTATCAGAATTGTTTGTAGTAAAATGCATATACTAAGGCAGTTTCCACATGAAGGATAGTTACGGCATAATCCCCATGAGAAACATTTAAAAGGTGCTATGCTGGTGCAGGAAAGGTAATTACGATCCATTACCAACAAGCCTGCCAGCACTCACATCTACCAGATTATGGAAGAGTCTGTAAAGGAGTTAGGAGGCATGTTAGGCCTCTGTAGTTTTAGCAAGCATAATAATACATGTTTATATTTTAATAATATCTAAATTAATGAATTTGTTTTCTGAAATTTAACCAAAGTTAGAAACTTCATTTCAGCTGTTATTTAGGTACTATCCAACAGCAATGACTAAATGTATGATGCTTATTTATTATTCCACAAACATATTGGGGAGCATATTTCATCTTAGCCATTTTAAAAATAAACTGTGTTGCAGTTAGGCACAGAAATAGAGGATTCTGCTCAGAAAACATTCCATTGTTCCTACAGGCAGAGCCACTGATGCAGTCTTGTTTTTGGATAGCTGAGACACTTAACAATAGATTATCCTGGTCGTTCAGTTGGGCAGGATTAGAGAGAAGCCAGCGGGCAATGGAACTTAAATGAAAGCATAGCTTCTGCCTGCCTTCCTTGAGGTTTCCAGTAGCCCACAGAGCATTTCTTTGACTTTCTTTTCTATACGTTCTTTTTTGTTTTTCTGGATTGGATTTATTTTTAGCAATGTAGATGCACTCCTAAGTATGTGGATTTTTTTTGTTTCAAATTCCAGATAAGTTTATTAGGGAATTATGTGGTAACTTTCCATCGTTTTCAGGGCATTCTGTCTTTGCAGAATACTCATGATAGAACAGCCCTAGGAGGTGTGTCAGTAAATTTGCTGTTGCACATTTTGTCTTTGCGATCCATATTGTGGGACAGTTCATGCTATTTCATTCAGATCTGTTTCACTGAAAGTGGCCATGCATTATGTTTCAGGTCCCATTGCTCTCTCTGTGTTTTCCCATAAATCTTACCACTTGATGTCTTAGTGAACTTTAAATTATTCTCAACAGAGCAGCACATTTCATGGTAGCCTGGAAGGTACTTCTTATTTAATCAAAGATATGTTCACCTTTCCAATGACAGTTTTTTCCATATTCCTGTTTCTAATATTTAGGAATGTATAATTTGGGGAAGCATCAACTTTAAATTTCATTATTTTCAGAAGACTCTTTAAGCTTTAGTTAAGGAGTGTCATGTTCATGGCTGCCCTGAATTGGCCATTATAAGTAAGTTATGTAGGCTTCCTATTCAAATCAAGCTGCTTGATGTTATGTCAAAAGGGCAAAAATTATACCCAGGAATAAGGCTATGACTATTACTCCAGCCTCAGACATACATTCATGCCCTCCAACATAGAACCCTCACTGTGCTGCTGCACAGACTGGTAAGCAACCAGTAGTTAGCAAAGATCGAAGGTGAACAGTGGTATGTTACTATCCTGCCTGAGGCCAACATTCAGTTTGACCTACTGAAGTGAATTTGCACTAATCAAGTACAGGCTATAGAGGAAATAAATTTAATGTCTTAGTTCCAGTTTCCATTTACCAAGAAGTTGAAAATAGGAGGCAACGGACAAGTGGGCAAAAGGAAGAATGAAAGAAAATATTAAGATATAGCCTGTCTTATGCCTTAGAATCAAGAATTATGTCACCAACCAAGCTCCTTTCTTATCGTTTATATTTTTACCTTACCTTATAAAATGATATATACTATAGAGTGCTGACAGCTTATAAAGTAGTCTAAGAATCAAGATGTACCTAAGTCTGTACCCTAGTTGTTTTTCAGTAGCATTGTAGATGTGAAATTTGGCCCTGCTTATGAAGTGTAAATTTAGTCTTCCTCAGAAAAGACTTCAGTCTGTGTTCTCATGGTTTAACTACCTTTTGTCTTATTTTGAAATTCAATTATTCAACTGAGTCATATTGTGCTTTTTCTCAGGCTGAACTCATTTTAGTCTGAAATGCATGGTACTAAAAGTACACAGATGAGACCTGTCTTGTTTTCCTTTGACTGAAAGTCAGCTTGTATGTTAATTATCCTGACCTACTTCCCTGGCATTTGGGAGAAGACAAGTAATTTCCCATTATCCCAATTAGCTGTTTCAGAGCTTACTGAGGTGTGAGCCTTATAATACCTTAGTTAGATTAAATTATATATCAGCCTATGAAACACTTAAAGACTATAAATCATTAAAGTATGGGACAAAATACAAAGATACACTTCATTTAGAAACCATCTGCCATAACACTAAAATACTGTTTTGATTAATGCAGCTTGAAGTCTGCTAGAATCTCTTTCCTTCCCTGTACTAGGCAATTTAGATGTGGTTTCAAAGCGTTATCCTTTAATTCTGCTGATTTCCCTCTTGGCAGTTAGAAGGATATTCTTTCCTATCCATACATATTCTTGGTGCTTTCGTTTACTCAATGAAGGTATAATGCTCTCTTTTTTCATTGTCTTGGAGATTACCTGCCAGTATTCTCACTTAATTTTCACATATATTTAGTTTGGCCTCAGAAATCTAAGAAAAAACCTAAGTCTTATGGAGGGGGAGGGCGAAGAGGAGGGATAAATCTATCTGTTGCCTTTGTAGCTACTGTACACATTCGGTTATCTGAATGAGATTTATTGATGCCTCTAAAATGAGATCTGCTGAGAAATATATTTTAAAGTTTTTTTTAACCTAACATCCTTTACACATCATTAATAACCTTGGAGCTACACAGAATATGCAGCTCAGTGGCCTAATACCTTAAATTATCTCCACAGAAAGATTAGGTAATGACCACCCATACCATGCTTAAGAAGATACATTAATTTTCTACAATCATTTTAAGAGTACTGGAGTAATTTCCCAAAGCAGCCATGAATTTTATTTTTAGGAACATTCACATCAGATTTGTATAGGTAAGGGAAAAATAGGCCCAGAATATGAAATTGTGTTGAAGGGAAAAAAGGAACAAGTTAAAAATAAAGAATAATGTCACAGCAATTTTTGCTACCTTTTTTGACGATTTATTTATTTATTTCAGAGGCAGAATTACAGACAGAGAGGGAGATAGAGAGAAAGAGAGAGAGGTCTTCCATCCGCTGATTCACTCCCCAAATGGCTACAACAGCCAGAGCTAGGCAAATCCGAAGCCAGGAGCCAGGAGCTTCTTCTGGATATCCCACATGAGTGCAGGACCCCAAGTACTTGGGCCATCTTCTACGGCTTTCCCAGGCACATTTGCAGGGAGCTGGATCAGAAGAGGAGCAGCCAGGATTTGAACTGACACCCATATGGGATGCTGCTACCACAGGCGGAGGTTTGGCCTACTATGCCACAATCGCCAGCCCTGTCAAACTAATTCTTATTGTCAAGATAAGTTATGTACATCACAAATAATTTGAAAGAGTATAAAATCATCAGTAATATCTGAAATTATAGTTCAAGTTTA